ACCACATTACCAACCACCACCACATTACCAACCACCACCACATTACCTACTACAACATCACACAGCACCACATCAAACCAAATAGACAATACCACATTACCAACCACCACCACATTACCTACTACAACATCACACAGCACCACATCAAACCAAATAGACGATACCACATTACCAACCACCACCACATTACCTACTACAACATAACACCCGACACCAACCTATCACATCCTAATACTCTTCCCATTCCATTCCATTATACGGCACGTTATCTTCAGTAATAAATCAGTTTCATACTAGGAATAAGAAACTCAAGGTATTTCAAACGGCTTTCGCGTAATGTTGTCCTTTATAAGAGTAGTTAAATTATATTAGTAAGATTGCGTTTCCTAGTATACTAAGCAACTTACGCTTGTCTTCTTGTCCACTGTTGACTGTTTGCAAACTTCACAATTATATCAGATACAAACTTCCGAGACGGACCATCATCTTCAGCACTGTGAAGACGACGGAGTAAGATTCCAATCTGAAACAAAACATGACATCGATTTTACTCCACAGAGAAGAATGTATAATATCGTGAACTAGTATCAAATTGAGCTGATCCTCGCAGTATATCAAGCAACTTATGCAGCTGCAAATTGAAAGACTCAGAAAAAATCCTGAGTCTTGAATGGGATCTACACTACGACCGCAGTACAAATACTGTATATATTTCATATATATTCTCATACACATTGTGAACTAGGGTGCATACACTCAATTGAAGAATCGTTGTCGGGTTCAGAAACATAGAACATAGAAGCTGAGACCGAAATGGCACATGGAAAGTACGTTAATTAGATGCATGCTGTGACCGGAGACCCGTGGCATCATCCACTGTTTTTAATACGCGTTTGGCATTCTAGATATAAACCTACTGCATGGATGGCGCAAAAATGAATACCTTTTAATATAATTATGTCATTTCCCATGTGTCATTTCTCAGCTTTTATGTTGTATGTTTCTGGACCCGACAACGATTCTTCAATTGAGTGTATATGGGAATATATCTAACATGAGCTTTCGTAATGTGGACTACTTTAAAAGGAGACACGATACTGTCTCCTAAATACTAAAAAAGTGAATCTGTATACACCGAATCGGAATATGGGCTGACTAACCTCGTGTTCACATGGAAACATAAAAGCGTTTTCACATGTATGAGGCTAGTCAGCGCTAAACAATAGTTATTCAAAAGTTGGTCGCCATATTTCGATTTGGCGTATATTATTATAATAAAAACACTTTGTACATCTTGTACATCTATGCAAGATAATGTTTAGAAAAGACTACGTACTTATTGACTGAGTGGGAGGGCCGTACGGGAAAATATTTAGCTCGAGGTGATGCCGTACAAATGACCGAGAGCCAAATATTTTCCCGTACGGCCCGACCTATCTCAGTCAATGAGCATTTTATCATATGACCCTCACGAAAATAAAAATAATTAAAAAAAAGAAAGCGCGCGGATTCGAGCAGGGCCGGACGGATTTTCCCGGCCCGCTTACGTCAACCCTTCCGGCCCCCATCACGTGACTTTTTGTAATGGTTTTATTAGAGCGCGCGAGCAGGACCCTACGGGTCACATGATAATTCACAGTACGATTGGCATGGTCGTGGCACTGAACCAATGACGTGCATTAAACCAGACACAGCACAAAAGATAACTGATATTTTAAGAGATGGCTTGCTCTAGTCTGTAAATAATAAAAGACTTACCAATTTAAAAGCTATAGTCCTGACATCAGCCACACGATCAGTAGCCAGTGTAATGGCTATTGGACATATGAATTGTTGTATACATGAGGCATTGTAGAACCTTGAGATCCGCATTAGTTGTCTAGATACACAAATATTAATATCAGTTATCATGCGATACAAAACTATTAGTGTGCTTTCCTTCCTATGAGAATAAAAAAACATGGCTGCCATGTTGGATGACATAATCAAAGAGATTAAGACTAAATCTCTTGGTCAAGTCAACTAACATGGCTGGTGAGAAGTAAAGGGAGACTGGCTTAAATAAGACAGTAGACTAGTTAGCAATTTATCGCCAAAGGCGAAGTAAATATTCTCCATATTCACTAAGCCTGAGGCCAATAATTGTTTTAGCATATACCAACTTGTGTACAGAGTAACTTATTTTCATATACAATAATTCAATAAAAGCAAACAAACAGAAACTCTCAGTTTGGGTGACAAATTCACACAAAACTTTGCCTTTTTAGTATTGATAGGAATGGCATTTACTTTCATTTTTTCAATTTCCTCATCGGAAATTGTAGCAAAACGATTGCCAGCAGATGCCATTTTGTTGCCAACTCAATATTCCGAGATTCAGAGATAAATGTCGTACAATATTCACCTCTAATAAACCAATGACCGTGTTCGTTCTTAGCAAGTACACAGGTTGGTATATTGGTATATTCTAATTGATATTATACATACTCTGCTAGCTCATGTCTAAATCTCCAATTCCTATTGTTATCAGTTGTTAGGAAGTCAACTAGTACTGGTAAATAATCCAAACGATTATCAACAGGTAAGAGCTGCAAGTAAAAAGAACAAAATAATCAGTTTATGTCAATTATGTTAAAGAAGAAAAATGCTGCTAGTATTGGCCTTTTCTGGAGTTAAAAAAATTAGGACCATTCTGGTCTAGCTTTGGTATATACAACATACATAATGCATGATAAAGAAAAAACGTTTCTACCAAAGCCTGACTACAATGCACAATGTTCACTGTGGAATGGAATAGAATAGAATAGAATAGGAATAGGAATAGGAATAGAATAGTAATAGGAATGGAATAGAATAGGAATAGGAATAGAATAGGAATAGAATAGAACTTCTTAAAATACCTTCTATTCTATTCTATTCTAAAGATCAATGATAATAGATTGGTAAAAGAAAACAGAGGGTATCTTACCTCTATAAAATCTGCCAAATGCTTCAAGACTCCTATTCTGACCTGCAATTTTCAAGAAACATCATCACACACATGGGTCTTGGGTTGGTTGACAGAACATTTAATTGGCACATAATGGCCCAGTTGTAGGAAGGGTGGATAGAGCTATCCAATAGATAAATCATTCTTATCCAGTGGATAAATTTATTGGACAACAGGATCAACTTATCTATTGGATAAGGTTTTACAGTATCCATTGGATAGCGCTATCCACTCTTCGTACAACCAGACCCAGGATAACTTGAATAGTCTCAGGTGATAACATACCTCATCCAAATCTTTTAAAAAGCTGTTGAAAATTGGAACAAGTTCTATTCTAGTCATTTCTTCTCCCAGAACTTTAGCCAGCACATGAATTGAAAATGCTAGAGTTCTTCTCACCTTCCACTACCAATAAGAAAGGTATGGTTAGTTTTTGTGAACCATGCAATACTGTGTTGTTGATGGCCTATACCCCACGAGGGGTGTACAGGCTTAGGAGGAGGAGGAGGAGGATGCAATACTTTAAATCAATAAACCTAAAGATCGTTTTCGCATTTTAGATCCTGTCTCATTCCCTAAAGGTTTATTAGTTAGTAAAGAAATAAAAAATAATACTAAAGGGAAAGGATTTGTGACTAAAAGATAGAACATGATCACACAGAAAATGTCAGTGCCAAACATGTTAACCAAGCTAATATCAAAACTCCAAGGGTGGCCTAGTCTTAATGCAATAAATTATGATTCATTTTCCTAGACTCAGTTTTAAGAGAGCTTGTTGGATCTTTCCCTTGATAGATCCCCTGCATGTGACACCAAAGGAGCTCAATTTGGAGGACAAAATAAAAAAAGAATTTCAACCTGAGATTTAGAAACCTATTGTTATGTCCTCCAAATTGAACTGAAGAGAGTTTGTTGGATCTTTCCCTTGAAAGGCCCCTTGCATGTGACATCAAAGGAGCTCAATTTGGAGGACAAAACAAAACAATTTTAATCTCCTGAGAATTGAAAACTCATGTGCTATGTGATGTCTATTCATAGGTTTCTTTCTGGGATCTCCAGTTTTCCTCCCATTTGCAAAACCATGAATGTTAAATTCCCAGTCAGTTTTTGCCCTGACTTAGTTCAGCTTTTATTTCAGATTTTTGTAAACATATGGTATGAAGCCTCATACATGTATCTGGCATATTTTCCCATTTAAGACCATGTGTCTTCTCATGCAAAACCATTAAGCAAAGAAATGATATTCTAGGGAATGACCAGTGGGTAGCATGGGTGGCATTTGCGGCTAACGCATCATCTTTTACCACTGTGAGTCCAATGGGTTGGGTCACTGGTTTGAGCCCTACGGTCGTCACATGTGAATTGAGTAAAGAGGTCTATAACAAGGGAATGATTCACATAATCGTACCTGCATATCAGATGATAAATACTCATAAGTGTCACGTAAACAGGGCCAGTTGTGTCTCCCAAGTGTTAGTGTGACAGCAGGGAAGCTGAAAGCACAATGTCTAGTGATCTCTGTGTCAATGGTCTGCGCTTTAGATGGCTCTGTCATTGAAATATAGTGATCAAGAAGAGCCTGCGGTATCACATTCTAAAAAAACAAAAAGATATTTAATATATTAATATTCAAATTCAATTCAATATTCAAAGAGTTAGAGCCTTATCGAGGTCAGTCTAACGGATGACCCACAAAATATTGTGAACTAGTGCCGCTGTCTTGAGTTTGGCAAGCTGTCAATACCTGAGGGTGGTTATTGGTCAGATGGTCAGTTAACAGCATTTCCTCTTCAAATGATGTAGTACGTTGAAGATTCATATCTCGATAATCATCAAAATCAAACTCGTCATGTCCATCATCAGCGAGTGAAAACAAATGAGCATCATCTTCATCACTGTCATGTTCATCATTTCTATTGAAAGCTAACCGAGGGCTGTTTGTAGGCGTCCGATCTTCTTCTCCCACTACCTTGGTACCATCCTCCTTCTCCTTTCCATCTTCTTCTTTCTCATTTGTTTCCAATTCGTGGGATTTATTTTCATTATTTTCCAATCTATTTGAATCAGATTTACTTTCATCTTCCTTGTCAGACTTGCTGCTGTTACCAACTTTATTTTTATCGACAGAATTTAAAGAACCAAGTTCAAATTCCACCTGCGGAAGTGGTTCCCTCCAGAATAAAAAGGAGTTAAAATATTGTTCATCAACGTCATCATCAAGATCCGTTGTAGGACATTTGTTGCATTTCTCTGATTCTCGAATACAGCAGTGTTGTGTTAGGTCTTTTGTGGGACTGGAGGTTTGTTCTTGTTCTGTATGGAGTGGTAGTTCAGGAGGTGAGACGTAGCCAGAGTCAGTTGTTTTAGCTTCAGGTGATGAGCCTCTTTCTCTTCCAGCACCTTCCTTCTCTTTATCATCACTACAGGAAAACAATGCAGAAATATCTAATTTGTTTCTAAGAATAGCCTATTTAAGGTACAGTAGGAAGGCTTTTATCTAAGTTCCCTTTTGAGACTAATCTGTGTGCAAGGTGCCAGGAGTTGACCTGTGACTATGTTGCTATGGATACCTCCTTGCTGCGGTTTCATTGCAGGTTAGACTTCATTTAATGTACAAATTTACCTGGTTCACACAAACCGTTTTTCAAAAGCATCATTATTTTACTTATGGTTTCATCATCATCATCTCCAGTCTGTGTGGCACTAGAGCCAACAATAAGGACTTCATACATGTATCACTTTATAAAATGTTTTGGGTTTCTCATACATGTATTGGCCAGTGCTTATAGTATTACTACATGTAGTCGCAAATACACTCAAATGCCTAATTTGTCATCACAGTCATTAAATTGTAAGTATATGCCTTGATGACTTGAAGATCACCACTCAATTCAAGTGTAACATTCACTCTATTCACTTTATTTAGAATCGATACTGAAAGCTTTGAATTAGGGGTGACATATTTAAGAGTCATCTTAATCTTCATTTAAGGACCCATGGCTAAATATTGGACCTGTTAGCTGCTTGGAACGTCAGTGAACCAAGTAAAGAGACTGACGCAGCCGAAAATGGAGTTCAACAACGGTTCACCCTGACTCTTAATTTGACTAAATCAACATTTGAGAAATATAAAATGTACTGTAGTGAAGGGTGGGTGGCATTGCATTTAAAGCTAAGTAAAATTACTCCAATAAACTGGATTAAAGACTACCATTCCCGATCACCCTAAATTATGCAGCTATCTGTAATTTTAATGTGGGAGAATAATGACAATGTTTACCCTTCTGTTGTGGTAGTATTTTCAGTAGATTCAGCTTCAGTGTGAGTAGGAGAGACAACACCATCATCATGTTCTTCACTCTTTGGCACAGGACAAAGAGCTCCATTTTCGTCAATATAAAAACCACTTGTGCTTGGGTCGGCAAACGTTGATATGAATGGGCCAAGATTCTGGTAGGCTGCCATCTGGACCTTGAAATGGTAGAAAGTACTTCATTAGAACAATTTTATTAACTAACGATGGAGTAAAACTAGCCATTCCTACTCCCCCCATCCCCCCACAGTCACTGATAACTGAAACCAATGGTATTGCATAATGGTAGAGAATCGTATGATTATAATAATGTAATCAATGTTGATGGAGCAATGGAAAAGCCAAGCTGTTCCTCCAGTTATTCTAGTGTAAGTGGTAGCTGTATTATACAGACACCTTCACGTGGTACCCACTTTATAGAGGTGTCTGATGAAGAGAGGTTTATTTTATTGTCAATTTATGGACATGAAAGTCTGGAACCTCCGAAAGTGTCTCTAATAAAGGGTGTACGCCTAATAGCTGTATCATTGTATCCACACAAACATCAACTTACCCATCTAGACTTATCATTAAGAAGGTTAACAAACACATCAGCTAGATCTGTTGTTCTGACATCACTGGGACAAGCTGATGAAACACTCATGAATGACTCAGCACAGGACTAAAAATCAAGAACAAACGATCAGATCGATATTTTTAAGGGAAGCACAGGTGGTGGCAGCAGTTTTTGATGCAATGTAAGTATTTGTGAGATCTTGGCTTTACTGCTCACTTCTGATTGGCTTGAGCTCAAGTAATGAATGCTTTGTTTTCATTCTACATTATGATTGGTCTACTTTGCAGGATTATAATACTGTACATAGTACTTTTAGAGTGACAATAAGCAATTTTACCTTTCTTACTCCCCAGACACCATCTTGACAAAGGCGGAAGAATACTGGCAACTAATGATGAGAAGACAATAAAGAACTTTCTTTAACAACAAACTTTTCAAACAGTTGGAAAGAATATTACCAAGTACTACATCAAGTTAGTATTGCATTCTTACCAATCTATCAGTTGTTAATTCTGGTCCAACCACATTGCAAATTTCACCAAATGTTGAAGCGCAAACCTGGTGATAAGGATACAAAATTGAAAACTTGAAAACAATAGCATTTTTGAGACTTCTGCGTGCATAAGAAAAAATCGACATGTCAGTTGAGAGTTGTGTGTATAAAATATTTGAATGTTGTGGTGGTGCGTGTGAGTGAACTAGGAGATATTAGCAGTCTGCTACTCTCAAATCCGAGTATAAATAAAAAGATTATTATTATTATTATTATTATTATTAAGAAACATAATATGGTTAGGCTTGTTCCTCAAAAACAAAACAAAAATTAATAAAAATGATGGGGTGTCAGTTTTAATCGATGCTGGTCAAGTTTGCCACTACAACTTATAAATATTAAAGTAAGGAAGATGACTACCAGTATAAGCCAGAGTGAATGGATGAAAAATGAAAAAAAGGGTCACTATTGATGGGTTGCAAGCATTTTCAAGAGAGTCAAAAGACAAAAACTGTTGATGGATTGCAAGCATTTTCAAGAGAGTCAAAAGACAAAAACATGGTGGCCATTGTGGTGCCGTTAACAATGGATGCTAATGAGAAATMTTTTGTTAAATGGCACCAACATGCAATCGACGGTGGTGCATTGGGGTCTCATAATGAGCTTATAGTCAGGGTGGATAAAGAAATATCTTCCTGGTTTTTCCTGGTGAATAATCAATGTGCAAACAATGAAAAAAATACTGTACAACCTTGCAAGTCACAATTTGAAAACATTGATAAATTTTACTTGTTAATTGGTTTAATTTTGTGTTATGACAGTTAAGGCTAGTTCATACCTTTCTGACATGGAATAGTGTGTCACAGCACAGTGTTTCAAACCTCTGGACAAAATATCTCTCAGTTATATCTGGACCAACAAGGGGAGCCATCTTGCTCATGAGCTACAAGGAGAAGAGCACAGCAATGTAAAAATAATGGTTAAAATCATTTACTACCATTATTGTTGAAGTGTGACCCCCAAAGTTTAATATCTTGTTCTCAGACTAGCATTTCAACAACCTTCAATCAAATAACAAATGTCAAGTGTCTAGTCATTCTAGCGCTTTCGCACTAAYTGGGGACACTTTTYGCTCACACGCACTACCACTACATTTAATAATCTTATCACACAACGCTCAACTCATGAACAAACAAACGAAAATAATAATAAAATAAATGAAATAAAAAACACTATCTTGGGGGAGATTTTTTTAAATTACTTTTATTTAAACATATAAATTCTTTAAGTTTACTCCAAGAGCTCTCATTCAAGCTCATCTAGGGAGTTCACTTAATAAAAGATTTACACATTTGGATGTGGAGTACAAACACACACACACACACAAAAGAAGAAAAAACTAACTTAAAATAAAACTTAAATGTACCTTGTTTTGTCTAGATATCAGGTGAAATGCTCATTCTTGAGCTATTTCTATTAAGCATGCACTGATCATTTTGTTCTGATGATGTACTTACTGTCACAGCTTCAGAGCGGTAATCATCACTGCTGTCACCAGCTGTCAACTGCATCAGCACTGGGCAAATCTGATCTTCAACATCAGCTGACATAAAGGAAAATATATAAGTAATGCTCTATAATGGACTTTTTTTTAGCTTGGATTAGCTTACATGTAAGGACTTAAGACAACAGCAGGTCATTAGACAATGTCTGGCTACATTGGGAATTTTTTCTGTGAAATTTTTGCCTCATTTTGACCAGTAATGCTGAGCCAGAAACAAGGTATTTCTGAGCTAAATATAATTTGGTTTTAATCTTGACAAGGGAATGACTGGCTAAAATTTAAACCCTTTGGATTGTTTTCCCGTTTTAGATCATCTCTTGAGAATAACATTTGCTTTTTGACTTCTTCAAATGTGCAATCATTATACAAATTAATCATACTCTAGGGAATGAAAAATGGTCTGAAATAAAAGAACACTTTTGCCACAAGAAAGAAAGAAAGAAAGAAAGAAAGAACCTGAAAGAATCTGAGCATTTCTATAATACACAAACATACCTCTCTCCACTAATTCATGCTTGAGTAGCTCAAGGAGCACATGCTGGCTTGTTTTTCGGACTTGATTATTTGAATCCATAAGATATCTCAGTATGACATAGAGAATGTATTGAGGTACTGCTTCCATCAATGAGAAGTGTTCATAACAATACAATGCCACATGAGGTATCTGTTCCATAAGCTCTACTCTTACACAGGGTTCTGAAAAATAGCAATCATAAAACAGTTGCAGAACTTGTTTTGACTCAAACTTAAGCCTAAACAATGTGAAAAAGGCTAAAAACTGGTTCACATTTATTCTCATGATGAACAAAATGTTTGCGCACTAAGAAATTAGACAAGGAAGCCTCAAGTTCCACTAATAGTGAAAATATACATAAAATACAAGACTTTCATAACTGGCTGCTGATAATTTGCATAAACATTAAAAACAATGTTTTTGGAGTGAAAACCCTTTTAAATCATTGTTCTTGTTGATTTAGATAAGGCGTGTGATGAGTTTCTACTTAAATTAATAAATCCTTTACAAGATGTGAGCATTTGAAGTTTTGAAAATGCACCAAAACGAGGCCACCAAGGCTTCCAGTGATAAATACATACAAAACTCTCTATTTTCATTCTTTCATAACTTCTTTGGTATGCAGTCAAATTCTACACAATTTTCTGGAAATAGTTTTCATGAAGTATTTTCTCAGATAGCATTAATAGTTTCTGGTAAAAAGGCTTCATTTTCTCTATTTGAAAAAACTGAGTTATGAAAGTCGTCTATGACAGCAATTCTAAACCCTATAGAAACTTGTGTATAACGTTTTTAGCTCACTTCATAGCTGTACAAATTCTTTAGGGCACATCACAGGGATAATAGTTCTAATGATGATAGTGGTTTTATTTAGCATAAGAGAAGGTATATTGTACATATAGTACATATCATACATTATTTATGGGGGTTGTGTGAAAAGTAAAAAAAAATATAATAAAAATCCATATTATAGTTTATGGAACTTTGTATTAGTAAGCTGTCACTTTCAAATATGGTTGAAATATAAAGTATGCTTATTACTACAGTGTAACATTGTAATCGTAAGTACATACAACAATACATATTTAGTAGTAGTACATTAATAGCGCAGCGCAACCGTGACGTCATAAAAACGAAGACAACGAAAGGTGAAATTCGGACTAACAAACTTACAATTTTACTTTCAGCAGATAATTTTCAGACGATCACAGTTGATCTTAGTTTACATGGGTTATTATTGTAACTTTGAGTAAAAATAATAAAATCGGCTCGTATAATCCTCATAGCGGTTAAACAGAATGCAATGTTTGTCCGAATCTTTAAGCTATTTTTAGAATCAGTGTGCTGTGCTATTATAAACCACTGATTATGTTCAACAACAAAAGGTGAGAAAATCTCACCTTAAAGAGACTTGTGTATCTATCCAACAGTGTTATATATAGGAAAGGCAAAGTTGGAAAAAAAGGAAAGTGTCTGTTTATAGTTTTCAAAAATGACCCAAGGGTTACATTGTCAACCTTGGATCAGTGCCCCTGATGAAATGATACCCATTGCAAGTTGACTTCCCTGCTAAAGAATTTGACACACTACCCACAACAAGTTTTTGCCAGCACCCTATTAGAAAAAACAGCCAATCAGAATGCAAGAAAGCTGTCGTATGTTTGGTGGTATTCCATTGTTTTTTCCCATTGAGCATGCTGCCCAGGTGTATTTTCAATGGTGTGGGATACAATGTTATACAATGCTTTCTTGTAGCGACCCACTAGTGTTTTCTTGTATACAAGAACAAGCCTACAGGCAGTATAGTTTATAAAGGAAACAAGTGTCTTATTAGATATTTCAATGTATGGCAATACCATTTTACAGTGTATAACTAGCATTTACTTTTAGGTGGAGAAAAGGCATGGTGAGAAAATGTATCATATATACAGTGAGTAAACACATTATGCAAAATCTAGTGGTCACATGCATGCAACCAACTTGGCATCACATATGATTACAGTTTGTTGGCTTTTTCCTTTGCTATGAGGGTTTTTTCTCTGCCTTCTCCAGTTTTCGTCCCTCTATTATAACCCAACATGCTAAATTTCAATTTCATCTGTAAGTTATAGCTGTGCCCTCACTTCGATCAGCCCAGAGGTTATTCCAGGATACCAATAAAATTTGAATTTAATGGATAAAAAAAAAAAATTATACGAAGTTGTTTGTACAGCTATATGCATACCAGGTGATTTGGAATCTATGCAAGTAATGCATTGTTAGTCACACCAAAAATTTCCAAGTATTTTCTATCATCTCTTATCGAAATAAAATAATATTCCACCAACAATGAGGAAATATGCTCATTTGGAAAGAATATTCAATGAATCTTTCCAGGATTAGTTTTGTTTTTGAGCAAAAACTGTTATTTATCAAGCCGAAAACCTGGAACTTGGAAATATTGAGCAACGAACAAAATATGTGCTGATTGGCTAATTTGTTTGAGCTGATAGAAGAAAAATCAACTCTTATGTAGGTGTTTCTAAACAAACCGTTAAATAGATCAATGGTATGAATAAGGATTGTCCATGGTAATACATGTCCAAATGAAGTATTAAACTACTTGCAGGTGGCTAGATTATCAAAAAAAATACGATAGCTTTCTAAAACCAATGTATTAAAAATAAAGTAAATAGTTTTAAAGCTAATTTCAAAATTTACTTATTCAGAGTACAGGAAAAAAATGAAAAAGAATGACCTGAAACTAGGAAAATGAGCTATGTGTAAAATGAACTACTAGATCGATAATACAAAAATTATGTAACAAATTTTTCATGTTTTATTTGCTGAATAAATTTTGACACATCAGAAAATTGAAATCTTTGTTGTCTATTTTAACCCGGAAATAGCAAGTTAGTTGTGAGCTGATATTAAAAAAATGAATATTGCTGATATATACATATAAGTGCAATTTATGGGATTACTTAATCAAATATTTTCATATCGATAAATCGTTTTATCGAAAATACTTAATTAATCTTGTAAAACTCGCTTTTTTAGCTGAAGTTGAAAAAATCAGCGCACACTTGAAGTATTTAAGTACAAGTTTTTAAAATACCATAGGGAAAACGTTTTATGTGGTAAAAACATTAAATAAAATTTAAGGTTGAGGTGTTGAAGTATGGAATGGGGAACGAACTATTAATAATTTGATTTGGTATTTCGTAAAAAATGATTATATAAGATGTGTCTGCTTAGAAAATACTGTAGAAACCGTATAGAGTCTGAAGTTAATGGCAAGAGTAAGCACATAAACTAATATTAAGTAAATTTTTGAATAAGAAGTTAGATTACAAGAATAAATACAAGGCTACTTTGTCGATGTGCAAGTAGGAGCAATAGGAATACTTACCAATGTCTTCTGAGAGACGAACTACGAGCCGTAAAACGTGGTAGACGTCTTCTTTAGAACGACAAGCATTAAGAGCTTCTCTTGTATACCTTGCAGCCATTTGCCTAAAGGGAGATTGGAAAAAAGTCCGAAAATCCGGTGAAATTTTACATGGAATTTGTCCAGTGCATCCACGTGTAGGGGTCGTACAAATATTGCTAGACTTTTTTTACCTATTAAATATCACATCACTGTGCATGTATTTTTCCATCCGTATGATAGGACTGAGCAGCTCCTCTGGGGTTATTTGGTCGAGTATTGAAGGATCATCTTGCTCCATCTCGCATCCTTCTGTGATCGAAGAAAGATTCAAATTTGAACAAGTCGTTTGGACGTTTCGCCGAACTCTCGACAAACAAGCGAAACTTTAAACGACTGAAAAAACATCTTGTGAATCGACAAATGACACAAAAATCATACCGTCGTCTTGGTCTTCTTCTGTATCGTCGATATCCTCTACTAAAAATCCTATATCTGAAAAAGAAAGTGAGTTAGACGAGAGTGAAAGAGCGCATAATTTCAAAGCCAAGTTTGGAACCTACCCGCCATCTTGGAAGTTGCAACAGACAGGAGTGGGTCACGTGATCTAAATTCCTGAACAAGTGTCGTAACTCTTTTCCCAACGGGGGAGGGCTGTGGGTGGCTGACCGCAGTCTCAACATTTATCAAAAAGTTGCATTAAACATTAAAATGTTGATTGAAAGATGACTTAGAAATTTATGTTTGAAATAACTTGATTGAAAGGCTGACATGACCATTGGTTAAAGATCAGTTGCCCTCTGAATCAAATTAAAATTGACCTTCTGATCAGATAAAACGCTTAAAATAATCTATTAATCCTACCAGATAGTAGCGTAGGAAAGTTAATTTTGATTATTTTTCTCATGAAAAGAAATAATATAGTAAATGATTTTTTATATTTGTGCATAAAGTTGCGAGGAGCCTGGGTACGAGTATGAAATATTGCCTAACAGGGGTGGTATAGTGTAAATTGGACACTATTTATATTCTTGTACATTAAGCATATATTGTTTATCATCATCGACATCTCCGAACAAAGTGTACATCACAACATTTAAAATGCAGATCAAAGGTGCTGTGGGTCTCGTTACTGGTGCTGCTAGAGGCATTGGTCTAGCGTTTTGTGTTGCCCTTTTAGATAATGGAGCTGCTACGGTAAGTTATCTGAAATAGATAATCAGGATTTTGTGTGGCGGCATACTGCCATTGGGCAGGGCAATTACAGCGCTTCTACCGTATCCTCAACTACTTTTCGACCCTGTATCGAACTCATGGGGTATTACATAAGTATTAACAGGGGTTTTGAAAGAATATCGTATAAAAACCCTGGCATCGAAGAACAAAATTATCAAGATCGACCCAACATGAATGTGCTCGAATACGTGTTTATATTGACACATACAGGGAGCCGGTATGAATATGTATGATGGAATTAGCAGTGAATTTTATTGTATTCATTCGGATAATCCTTTGAACTAAAAGAAAATATCGTAATGAATGGTCAATGTTTAATTGTAACTTTGAAGTCTGAAGTTATATTCAGAAAAATCTATTACCAGATTGGGGTATAATTAGTATTCATAAATACAATCACAAAACCACACACTTTATTCATCTACCAACCAAACCAACACAAAGTGAAAACAGTTGTTGTTTGTAGAATATATTTTTTATTTTGAAAAATATTGCTTCTGGATTTTTAGTATATATATATTTTTGGTTTGCCTAGTGTTTGGGAGTCCTTAATATAAACTCTTTTATTAGTACTTTAATTAGAGGATTAATATTTGGCAGGATATCAAATTTCTGAAGAGTTAAGAGTCGAAGGATGGGGGAGGGGGTGGGGCAAAAATGCTCTTCCAGTTTAATTTCATATTCGATTTATATTTTATATTTAACATTTCCATTGCTAAGTTTTGAAATTATTTGTGAATTTACAACAAATTTCTCTAGCTTTTAGTAAAATATTCAATTTATCATGGTATTTTTTTTGAAATGACACATGGATTTAATAAATCAAAGCAAATGAGAGTTAATTTGTTATTTTAGTCTCCAGACCAAAAGTGAAACAAAAGTAATTACTTTAATTTAAATTCCTAGCAAATGTTGAATGGCTGCCGGAAATGTTGATATTGTAAGATGATATTCAATATAAAACTAATTTGGGAAGGAATATTAGGTGGTCAAGAGTCAAAAGGCCAATGAACCAAATGTATTTAGTTTATTTATGTTGAGGGTTTTGTATTTATGTATGATTTATGTATGAGCAGTTTGCCAGACATTCCACACCATTACACTTCATTTGAAGTCAGTATGGCCGGGGGATTCCATTTAAGTTGTAATAAATCAGTCTTTTTTAGAGTAAAAAAAGAAAGAGAGAGAAAAAGAAAAGAAAGAGAAAGAAGAAAAAAAAAGTGGAAGAAAGGAAAAAAGAAAAGAAAAAAGAAAGAAAGGAAGACAGGAAGGGAAGTCCGATTAAGATGGTATTTTTTATGCCTTTAGAGCTATATCATTGCAGCTTGTTTCCTTCGTTATCAAATGACTGATTGATAAAGCTAGCAATTTTGTGGTGACGGTGAGAGAACGATTTCAATTTGTGGCTAAGTGGGTCATGAAAATTTAAAAACACGAGACGATTGGGTTTAAAGCGTACAGGATGTAAATGAATGTTGTAGGTTAACATTATGGGGGGAAAACGTCAAAGAATCCGATAGAAAGCGAAATCGGCTGTCTCACTTTTTGCCCCTATCCTCTCCACCCTCCCTTCTGAATTGTCTCTAAAATTGTCGATAAAAGAAGAGCAGAGGAAATGAACAGAAATAAAGCGTTATTCATGATGACTTTCGAAAATATTTGACAATCAGTGCGGTATTCTTGCATTCAAAAAAACGAAAATATTCGATTTTGGACCGTTGTATCGCAAAAGCCATTTTATTAAATAGCGCCAACCTCCCCGTCCCCAACAAGGAACGCCTGCAATGTTTCAGCAAGATCTTCCTTCTCTGGGTTTCCTGTCGGAAGGCAGCCCACACATAAAATATGTAAAGACAAAGAGATGCCAGCATAGGAGTGCGTAGGAGAGTGTAGGAAGCAAATCCAGTCATTTCGGATTTTGTCATTGACATACTGTGATTTACTGTGATTTATAAAAGGAAGGGGGAGGGGAGGAACCAAGCACCTCCGCCCACCCCTCCCTTATCCGCAAATTCTTCACAAAAAGCGTGGACATATTTCCAAGATCGCGTTTATGTCGTCCCCTAAAACAGTCCAACAATGCACGACACCCAGTCTTTTTCTCGACCTCGAAATATCTAATAGCCTATCCAACGCAGAAATTTCTTGAGTTGTCACGCAACGTGAGAAAGAAACGTGACGACCCTAAGAACATCTGCTTTGGGTTAGGGCTAAGAAAGAATTCTCGTGGAAATCATTTTATTAGATGCAATATTTTCATTTGTGTATTTGGTTAATTTTACTAGGTGAGAATGCTTGATATATGCAAAGAAGAAGGCGAAAAAGCACAACAACAGCTGGAGAAGCAGTTTGGTCCAGGAAAAGCCAAGTTTACAGAATGTGACGTGACAAACAATGAAGACTTTGCCAGTCAGTAAAAATATGTAAAAAGAAAATTACAGTAAAACCTTCATAAAGCGGTCAACTTTTATTTACTGAGCGGTCAGTTGTGAAATTCCCAAAGAGAAGGCTTTGCACTAGTTTATACCTCTCTTAAGCGACCAGCCTCTATTTAGCGACCACTATGCCGAATGTGGCCGTAAGTCCTACGAAAATGGCTATATGTTGTAAGCTGAATATTTGCTCTACAAATTTAATCTTGTTCAAAAATGAGTTCCAAATATCTTTAAATTTCATAAAGAGATTTTCGTATGAGTGGGGAACGATACTGGGTAAATTTGTAGCCGTACTGTATATTACCGTACTGTAGCCGTATATCGGTCGTAACCGTAACTTCGTGTTGTGTCTAACAATAGTATTTTTTGTCATTTTGTTTATCAGAGGCTGTGAAGCAAACGGTGATTGAACATGGAAAACTTGATATTCTGTGCAACAACGCAGGAATTATCAACGAGAAAAACTGGGAGAAATGTGTCAGCATTAACTTGGTAGGTCACTAGGGAGAATCTGACGTTGTACATTTAAAAAAAGTATTCATCCAACATGGCGGCCAGATGATATTTTCCCCGATACATTTTGCATTGTTATTTACGCGGGGGCGTGCGTGTGTGCATGAGGGGTGCTTGAGGGCCTAAAGCATTAATGGATTCTTGCGCATGATCAAGTCGTAGGTTCAATATAATCCCTGGGCTGGACTAGAACCCAGTACGGAGGTGAGAGACCTTGTATAGCAAGTGTGAAATTACACCTACAAATTTTTAGACCTGCATGTGTCTTCGTGCAAAAGGACATTAAATCATAGAAATCTACCGTCGTTGCTCTGATTATTTTTTCATTCACTTTCAGAATTCTGTAATTCACGGGACATTCGTTGGCTTGGAGACTATGAGCTCTGGTGTAATAGTTAACACAGCTTCAATGGGAGGTAATCATATTGCGCGAAAGACATTTAGGCCCGGTTCATACGTCGAACTTTCATACGCCGAACCATACGCCGAACCAAATGTTAAGAATTAAGATCATGAAAAGTACGACGTCTGAACCAATTTAGTTCGACCATAACATTGAGATCGAACCAATCGTTAAGATCGACTGAAGCGGTCGGGAATTACGACTTCGGAGCTACTCTGATTCAAACGACGAACTTTTCATGAACCGAACCTAATGCATATATTATATTTAATCGCAAAAAAAAAGGGGGGGGGGGGGACAAGCAGGTTTATCATGAGCTGTGCATGCGCATTAACATCAACATGGCTTCCTGTGTTATATGAGGCTCGGCAGCTGGTTCCGAATCCCGGTAAAGCAAGATGGCGTCCGATGATATGTGTGATTCGTGTTTTGCAACCACGAAATACGTTTGTATTTCTTGTGAAATGCCAATATGCAATAAGTGTTCATGTTTTGAAAGCGATGAAGAACAGCCTGGTTGGGTTGCAGGAAGAAATATAGGATGGCCGAGCGGGGGACTGCGGCACTGCGGAAGAGTCTGATTTCTATATTACTCTATGTTAACCGCTGTCCTAAATGCATGACTTGGAAAAATCTAATTGGATCGACTGAATTTGGTACGACGTCTGAATCAAAAGTAGCTCGATCTTCAACGTGTTAGGTTCGGTTCATGAAAAGTTCGACGTATGAACTGGGCCTCAGAATCTTCTTATGCAAACATTCAGTTTCTCTATACCGAATGCAACTGCTCAACCGCGAAAACTGAAACTAAAATCTTGGTTCTTTCGCCGCACATGTATATAGCGCGCGCCATTCTCGTATGCAGAGCTCCTTGACAGAGCCCCAAAAACCAAGGGGTTCTTAGAATTATCTGAAAAGGTTTGCGCAGAGCTCCGGAGCTATAAAAAGGCAGAAACTCAATTCCTGGGAGAGATAGTAGATACAAAGCTTTCTCGTATCCAGAGCTCCTTGACAGAGCTCCAAAACCGAGGGGTTCTTAGAATTATCTGAAAAGGTTTGCGCAGAGCTCCGGAGCTTTAAAAAAGGCAGAAACTCAATTCCTGGGAGAGATAGTAGATACAAAGCTTTCATTATGCGCAGTAGACGTACAGATAGACGTTAAATGACGATCCGTTATTTTTATAATAATTTAATACTTATTTTGCGCATTTTTACATATGAATATGATCGAAAGCGCATATTTTCCACAAGAATCTATTAATAAAGGTTAAAGTGCTTATAAGCCTTTACACAATATTTTCAGAATTGATTCTTTACTGAATAGTGAATAGTTGATTGTGAAAATAATTGGTCATTTGAATGTCGAGTCTTTGATATACGAAGGTTTATATTTCCAATATGTTAATGACTATGACGTTTGAAGGCTTTTGTAGAATCCTGGAGGTTGTTTTGATCTCTTGTTTTCTGGTTTGATGTCGTGAAAATAGTCAAATACAATAGTTTGAGGACTTATTTTGATGTGTTTTGACTAAGCATCCGCTCAACTCCAAAAAGTCACGCGATTGATAGTAAGCAATTGGTTGTATAACCGCGCGCCAGGACATTGGGCATACGTAATACAAGGATTAAAGTTTAGTTGTTTGTTGATGTAATGCAGGACTTGCACCGATGAGCCCAACCCCTGTGTATTGTGCCACGAAACATGGCGTTGTTGGATTCACCAGGAGTATAGCAACGGTACAGTCAGTGTATATTTAAATATATCAATTTATAATTAATAGGTAATGGGATTTCATGCTCCCCAATCAAGAAATAATTAGACTTGAAAAATTCCTCTGACTGCCAAATAGGACTCGGCCTACAGCCTCATCCAATTTTGGAAGTCCTCGGAATTTTCCTCGTCCAATTATTTCTTAATTGGACAGCATGGAGTCCTATTACATATACTAATTACGCAGATCAGCCCTGGGTTGCTACAATAAGCATTTGTCCAAAACTATGGAATTTTATATTTCTAATTTTTATTAATCTTTTTCGTAAAAATGCATGGCACTAATTAAATAAAAAAATTCAAAATCTAAATAAAAGTGTTTTACTATCTAGCTTCCCTTCTAGTTACGAGCAAACAAACCACTGCTTAACAACAACACTGAACAACAACAACAACGACAACAACAACGACAACAAACAAACGAACAAACATACGCAAAAAAGAACACCCCAACCTTCCTCAGTCAGTTACCCTGCCTTAATAAAAAAAGATATACTTGTGCACAGTCTTAACTCGCTTTAATGGCAACCTTGCAAGTTTCTAAAGAAACAGCATTTTACCTTTTAAAGCAAGAATAAACGTAATCAATAGCTGATTGTTGTCTTGTAGGTCGCAATGAAGACAAAAGGATTACGTGTAAACTGCATTTGTCCAGCTTTTGTCGACACCCCGCTTCTGGAAAAACAAATGGAAGAGATACCCGTAACTAAAGCATTAGTCGCGCATTTGGGAACCGTCAAGTAAGATACTCATTTTCTCCTTTCTCTGTTTTACTCTCCTCCTTTCTCTCTTTCTCTTCCCAATTCCCTTTTACCTCTTTCTAGCTCCCTTTTTTTCTCTCTTTGGCTTTCTTTCTCTTTTCTCTGTTTGTTTTTCTTGCTATTTGTCTATCTTTCTGTCTTTCTGTCTTTCTGTCTGTTTCTATTTATGTCTGTCCGTCTGTCTGTCTGTCAATCTTCCCGATCGTACCGCATAATGGACTATTTCGACGATGAGGCGGCCATCTTTAATTGTAAGGCATTATGGGTCAAATTGCCTTGTTGTGAACTGTTAATGTCAATCGACGCCATACTGTAGCAAATCTCAGAATATTTGCCCCCCGGAGGACCCATAAGGCCATGCGATTCAAGATGGCCGCCGTATCGTCGAAGTAGTACATCAGTTGCCGCCGGATCATATCTATTCATTCCATCGTTCATTCATGTTTTCTCGTTGTCTGAATCTTTTCTAGAACCGATTTGGTTGCTAAAGGTCTTATAGAATTAATCACCGATGACACCAAGAATGGTGCAGTAATGAGAGTGACTGCAAAGACGAACATCGATTATCAAGAGTTTCAGATCCAAGGCGTATGAATGGCTTATAACACCCAAAGCCTCTCGGTCCATGGCGCTGACTATTAGGCTCAAATCAAACGTCGAACTTCACATGAGCCGAACCTAATTGAAACAATGGATAACGCGGCGGCCTCCTTTGATGCTATTAGGTTCGGCTCATGTAAAGTTCGACGTATGCAGGCTGCGAAGACTGACTTGTTTATTAACAACCTAACAAAGAATTAAATTTGTAGTCCATTCACACCATTCAAGTCCACCAAACGTTGTTTAGTCAGACTGGGTTTTTCTAGGTTCTATAATATGCGAGCATTTATTAACTATCACAAGAATCAAACTACCTAAAACTTGTTATGAGCAGTTTTGTATAAAAGGTTGTTGTTCTTTATTCTGATGAAGGGTTTGATTATATGTGTGTTGGGGAATGGGGGGGGGGGGGGTGGCGTGAATTGTTGTTTCTGTAGGCCAATCAGGTTCGCGCGCTTTTTCTGATTCTGAAGCGGCTTATAATAATTATGCACTGAGTCGCACATGGGTTTATTCTCGTAGTGCCCTTCTATCTATCTGCTTTATGCATGGAAAGACAACTTTTGAAATGATGTAGACCATATACCGATGGATGCTATGTCGGGGCCTGCATGCATCGAAGGGTATTACAGTCGAACCAAACACTTGAATGATAATAATGAATAATTGATTTTTTTAGAGAGGGTGAAACTTAGCACTTGTAATTTGTACCCCTATAATAGCCATTCTGAGGTTGAGGAAAAGGCTGGGTGTAATAATAATAATAATAATAATAATAATAATAATAATAATAATATAATAAAATAAACCAACTGAAGGACATAGACCGACGCACAAAAGAGATAGTCAGAAAAGAAGGAGGAACGCACCATCACGAATCCATCAAACTACTCTACCTACCAGAAGAACTAGGAGGAAGCGGCATGAAAACCGTTGAGGACACTTTCAAATTAACAACAATCAAAATGGCTAACTATATCAACAACAGCAAAGACAAGAGGATCATGCATGCAAGAACGCTTGAAATGAATAGAATCGCGCAAGGTAGAAGGTCAATTTTCAAACAGGTCACCAAATACGCAGCAGAATATAACATCACGTGCGACTTTGATGATACAGGCACTAAAATACCTACAAGTAAAGACCCTACACCTGCCAACGAGACCAAAACGATAACCTCACTTTCACCAAAATCAATAAAAGAGCTGCTGCGATCAAAGATCACGGAGAAGTATATAAAAGAAACAAAACAGCAGACATGGCTTGGAGCCTACACCAACCAACGACTCCAAGACAAACAGATTTCACCAACAGCCAACCAGATCCTGAAGAAGTGGAAAAACATTCCCGATATTGTCTACAGCGTAAACAAGAGCATACGCCAACAACTACTACCAACAAAGACATACCAACAAAGCAAAGCACAGATGACCATCACAGACACCAAATGCAGAATGTACCACATGGCTACAGAATCAACAACACATGTACTGAGTGGCTGCTCAAAGATCGCCCAAAGCCTTTACACAGCCAGACACGACAGAATGCTGAGACCGATATACCACTGTTTGCTGGAAAAGTACAACTTTCAGGAAAGCGACAATGGAAAGCCATTGGTACCAACAAAGTCTACCATCAGCAGTACTTCAAAATGAAAAGGCAAAAATATAGTACTGGAATGTACCGGCCCTTTCAACTTGAGAAAGCTCCAGAAAACAGTGCCAATAAACCCGGCATAGTTGTAGAAGATAAAGAAACTAATGACACTATTTGAAGGCACAGTTTGTCAAGTTGGTAAGATTGCGGAGAGAACTGTTGAAACACAAGAAAATAATAATACACGGAACTACGTAGTCTCCCTCGCATCCGTTTTTAGTGTCGTCACGCAACGCTCCCTCTGTGGGGAGGGAGCGTTGCGTGACGACACTAAAAACGGATGCGAGGGAGACTAGGAACTACGTGCAGGCATCAAAAAAGAGTGCAAAAGCTCGTGTAAATCAGATTAACATAGTGTTTGACTTTCTCGCAGGACATCACGAACAGCTAAGAAAAGACCCAAAACAATTACAAATACAGACAGGGAAGTGAACTTTCTTATAGAACGATGCCAGAAATGGATTTTAAGCCAGAACGTTAATATAGTCAAGAAGTTCTATGAATATGCATAAGCTGAAGAAAGGATTGAAAAAAATGATGAACTTAACCAGCCTAGACTTAGTCCGCTGGTCAATGTAAACATGATATATACAGACAAATAAAACTTGCCATAATAATAATAATTCCTATCACCTTTGGCTTTGATTATCTATTTTGAAAAAAATGTAAACAGACCAGCAATTGCAATTCAAACTAAAAATTTTTTTAAATTGGTAACGTAAACCAAACTATTAATATGATTATTACACCATTATTATAACGCTAAGGACCACTTAGATAAAGTGTTTCCTTAAATGGAAAGAACAGTAGTTTTTTTGTTTAAAAACCTGAATATATTTCCTCTTATCATGACAAATATTCTAAATTTAGCTATATATTATATCTCAACTCCTTATATGGAAGTGTAGCGTGTAAACACCTATTTATGTTAATCAAAAATCGGTAACTTTATAGTTTAACAGGCAGTATTCCGCTCATTTACAAAATGATTATCAAAGGTGCTGTAGCTATTGTAACTGGAGGAGCTGGNAAGGTGCTGTAGCTATTGTAACTGGAGGAGCTGGAGGAATTGGACGTGCATTTTGTGTGGCTCTCTTGGAGAATGAAGCTGCCTTGGTAAGGCTACTATACCTAGTAACAAAGACTAGGTTTATACTATTATAAAGTTGTGTCACGCGAGGCGAGATGCCGAACCGTGCATCGTGTATTTTTAAAATAATGATCTGATATGTATTGACTCAAAAATATGTTGATTTATACTAACATATCATAATTTAAAGTAATCTTTACAATTTGAGCTTTGATTGCTCTATCGTTTAATATGGAAAAAGCTTGTTGGCACTGAAGTAAAACTGATCAGTTTCATGAGTGTTTACTGACTTGGGAAAGATCGATTGGATGGCACCGTAGCCACAGGAAGCCCAAGGAAATAAAAAAAAAAAAAAATTTATAAACTAGTCCCTGTATATGATTCCCTAGGTGGTCATACTAGATGTTAACAAGGAAGCGGGTGAAAAAACCCAGGAAGAGTTACGAAGCAAGTACGGACCAGCGTCTGCTAAGTTTATAGCATGTGACATTTCTAACAAGGAAGAGCTTACAAGTTAGTGCTTGTCAATATTTACAACGTTTCTTGTCCAAAATGTTTTGGTACTAGATTGGTTTTCGCAAGAGTGGGAAACTATACAGAAAATTCCTTGCCGTACCGCACCGTAACATATCTTACCGTAGCCGTAACTACGCGTAGAAGTGAAATGAATTACTCGGGCGAAGCCATTTAATTTCAGACAGACAAGTATCGCTTACATGTAGGTGGTGTTGTAAGTCAGTATCGTTTTTGTTTCTCATTCATACGATAGTCGATAGATATATACGATAGTTATAACGATAGATATACGATGTATACGATAGATATAACCCGGAAGATATTTTTCCATGGCCTGGAGATTTGTGAATTGAATACGCCATTTCATTTCATTTTGTCTACGAAAAGGAAGATGCTGCAACAGCCATTATCGTGAGCGCGCTTTTTCCTACGACAAGAAATGAAAATAAAATGGCTTTTTTGACCCATAATTCTTTTTGCGCGCCAGACTGAGCTAATTTTGAATTAATGAATTTATATGCAGATGAAAAGCCACTCTGTTACGAAATACATTCGTTATTAGCATCATCATTATTATTATCATCTATTACGAAATACATTTACTCAGTGTTGTTTCTCGTGGCAGATGCATTCAAGGAAACTGTAGATGAACACGGCAGACTCGACATTGTGTGCAACAATGCGGGTATTGGTGAAGAGGTCAACTGGGAGAAATGCATTGCAGTCAATCTGGTAACCACTACAATTGTTCACATTTAAATTATAATCTTTGATAATGATGAATTTATCCAGTTAGGGTCCCGGGGTACAGCAGCAGGTCAGGTAAGGTTTGCGCTTCTGAAAGCTTTTAACCAAACATAAAAAATAAGACGAAACTTAAAATAGATATATCTCTCTGTAATTTAATCTTCAAGTCCATACCTCATGATCCTCGCACAGTATCGTCATTATTTCATTAATTATTTCATTTCCAGACGGCCACCATTCAAGGCACCTACTTGGCATTTGAATACATGAAATCCGGGGGTGTAGTAGTCAATACGGCTTCCATGTCAGGTATATGTATATATATATATATGAAGAGTAATTTTAAATTATTCGAGAATTCGTGATCTCCACTATAAGAACTAAACTATGATATTTGATCGCCTCGTTACAGCATTTGTACCGATAGGCTTGGCACCAGTGTATAGCACAACAAAGGCTGGTGTCGTAATGTTTACAAGAAGCATCGCAAAGGTAAAATACCATGATTGGGCAGTCGAGCATTTTTGGAGCAATACAAATGAGGAGTCACTACTGCAATGAAAAGCTAACCCAAACCGATAAGAACTCACAAGGCTGTCACTTAACAGTAGCGAAATCATTTTTGAATATTGCTTATGCAATCAAATCTCTAAGACAAGGATCCGTAACGGTCACGGCACCTCTGCTTTAGTAAATGATAGTGAGAGTATCAGCTAGTATTGCCTTTGGTTTTCAGTGTTGATAGTTTTTTATGCTTATAACTTATTGCAATTTTGAGCCGCCAATACGGGTTTATATTGGTGGCCTAGCTGGGAGAAAATATGATTTTGTATTGGCTGTAGTCGCGAAGCGACGAAGACCAACACACCTCTTGCAGCACTTTGGAATGCAGCTAAATGGAGGATATAACAATAGGTTTTTTTCCAATTCCCGTGAGATTGAAATTCTTTGTTTTGTCCTCCAAATTTGAGCTTCTCTGACGTCACAAGCAAGGGCTCTATACGGGATATATTTTCTTACAACGCCAACTCAAAATCGCAGTACGTTTTGTATCGCGATTCTCCTATCAGGTTTATATTGCTGCTCTCTTCCGATCAAACTTATGGGAGAAACGCAATACAGAAAAGATCTGACATTTCAAATCTTATTCTTGGGCGCATGCGACGTCATAGCCGCCATGTTGGTTAACGAATTCCTAATAAGCTTCTCTTATTAGATCAACCAACATAGCGTCTGTTTCTTTGTTATCTATATATCGAGGGATTTTGAATCACGTGGTTGCACTTTTCCCTTATCCCTAAGAGGTTCGATATATCTACCGCAGTGTACACTCTACTGTATATAGTCACCAGTTGACTGCACAATACTTCTGTATTTAAGGCTTCCCTACAGTCCAAAGGTGTCCGCGTATGCTGTATTTGTCCAGGAATAGTTGATACTCCCCTTTTGCCCAAAGACAACCCAGGAATGGCAGAATGGATCGAAAAACGAGGAATTGTTCAGTAAGTATCGATGACAAAAAACCGTAAATCTATTTTTTTTACAACCGAAAAAAAATTAACGAATTGCATCAATACCCTGAAACAACCTCGAGCTGCTCAACCGCAGGGCACGGCTAGCTAACTCACAGATCGATTTGTAATTTAGCGTGTTAGGTTTTGTAGAGGAAGGAGAACCCGAAGAAAAACCTTTGAATCAATGGAAAGACCTTACAAACTCTACTGATATGTCAGTGGTGTCAGGATTGAACCCGAGATCCCAGAGATGAGAGGCGAATGCATTAACCTTTGATTCCTTCTTGTTTTAACTTTGTTTGTTTACAGACCAGAGTTCATTGCCAAGGGTCTTCTTCAGCTTATCAATGACGATTCCAAGAATGGAGCAGTCATGAGAGCCAACGCTGCTGAAGGCATGGGATACATGCAGTTTGAAGAAATGGACATTTGATAGTAATCATAATAACCTTGATGAATCGTAAAATACTCCTTCTCACCTCTGATCTGTTTAGCCTAGTGCACATTTGTCTCCCTCGCATCCGTTTTTAGTGTCGGTCGTCACGCAACGTTGCGTGAGGACCGACACTAAAAACGGATGCGAGGGAGACTAAGTGCACATTAGCGACATGTGATGACATTTCCCTAGTGTGAAACGAAACAACAGGGAAAACATAACGGGAATATTGTGTTAGAGTGCTTCCATATATCCGTGAAAAACTGCGTAATGTAAAATTTAAGCTCGTTTTGTGGGTTTTGGGGAGGCTTCTCTCCTCCCCAAGCCTCCCCAAAACCCACTAGGAACGCCTGGCTACGCAGGCTAAATACTTCTTTGTTACGAAGATTAAGACGCGCTTGCTGGTCGCCATGTGGCCATCAGGGCTCTTGTTAGCTTAACCTTGCATATAATTAAGTTTCTTATGTAATGCTAATGACGTTACCTCGAGGGTGACTGAATAAGTAACGCAAACTGTACTAGTAATATGATTATCACACCATTGTTATAAATCTAAGGACCAACTTAGGTAAAGCGTTTTCTTAAATGGAAAGTTTAAAAACTTGAATATTCGAAAATAACAACGGATGCTTCTTATAAAACTGGAATATACTCAAGTGGTATATACCAACTCCTTATAAGGATGTTTAGCAGGTAAATATTTATGGTAATTAAAAATCGGTAACTTTATAGTTTAACAGGCAGTATTCC